GATGCTATACTGATTAATGATATTAAACCAGCTCTAGGAAGTGTTAAGATTGCAAATGGAGGAAGTGTTAAGATTGTAAATGGTGATAGAATTCCAATAGAAGGTGTAGGAAATCTGAATCTGTTTAATAAAGAATCTCAAGACTATTATATGTCTCTCTTTGCTTCTAATCTTATATCTGTGAAAAGGGCAACTAATGATCTAAATTGTAAGGTTACTTTTAGTCCTAATGATGTGTGCTTTCAGAATATTAAGACGAGTAAGATGCTGGGAAAATGTGTGAGCAAGGGAGAGCTTTATTTCCTTGAAGATACCAAGCTTGGATCAGATTCTACTTATGCTTTTAATTCTGCTTCTGTTTTAGCGAATGATGTGTTATGGCATTCTAGATTAGGCCACCCTCATTTCGATGCTTTAAAATTGATGTTACCTAGTTTATCTTTTCAAAATGAAACTTTTGAGGCTTGCATTCTTTGTAAACACCATAAATCTGCATTTTCCTCATCTATGACTACTTATGAGAATTTCTTTGATCTAGTACACTCTGATGTTTGGACTGCTCCTTGTGTTTCTAGAGAAAACCATAAATATATTTTGACTTTCATAGATGAGAAATCGAAATACACATGGCTCACACTGATTCAAAGTAAAGATAGAGTTGTAGAAGCTTTTATGAACTTCCAAAACTATGTGACTAAGAATTTCAATTCTAAGAGCAAAATTTTTAGGTCAGATAATGGGGGAGAGTACACTAGGCATGCCTTCAAACAACACTTAGCAAAACATGGAATCACACATCAAACAAGCTGCCCATACACACCACAGCAAAATGGAGTGGCTGAGAGGAAGAATAGACATCTTATGGAGGTTGCAAGGAGCATGATGTTCCACACCAATGTCCCAATGAGATTTTGGGGAGATGCTGTGGTTTCAGCATGCTACCTTATCAATAGAATCCCAACCAAAGTCCTTAAAGATGCCTCTCCATTTTAGGTATTAAACAAAACTAAGCCTCCTATAGATTACTTGCGTGTGTTTGGGTGTGTGTGTTATGTATTGATACCAGGTGAACAAAGGAGCAAGCTTGAACCTAAGAGTATCAAAGCCATGTTCCTTGGGTACTCACACACGCAGAAGGGATACAAGTGTTACCTACTAGACTCAAGAAGGGTGCTGGTATCCAGGGATGTAAAGTTTGTCGAAACCAAGGGATACTATGATGAGAAGAATTGGGAAGTGTTACCTACCAGACTCAAGAAGGGTGCTGGTATCCAGGGATGTAAAGTTTGTCGTATCCAAGGGATACTATGATGAGAAGAATTGGGAAGACCTCAAAGATCTCTCACATGGACCTTCAGATAGAGAAAACAACCTGAGGATCATTATGGAGAGCATCGGCATAACTCAGCCTAGGATCAGTGAGGAGTCTCGCACCTCTCCATCACCACCAGGAGCAATAGAACCAAGCCTTGAGACAGTCCATCCTGATCCTGAGGGGGGCAGTGAGCATGAATCATCACCAGAGAATGATTCAGGATCAACACATGATCAAGATGGAGCTGAAAATTATTCAGGTTATGCACCAACACATGATCAGTCTAGTGGAGATCAAGGACAGGAAGAACCAGTGGTAGAAGAGCAAACTCAGCAGCTAAGAAGGAGTACCAAAGTGAGGAAAGATCCATCAAAATTGATTAACACCAGAGTATTCTTCAACAGCAATGCAGTGGCTCATCTTATCCAAGCAACCTGCTCTCTTGCAAGCTATTCACAAGAGCATATAGCCTTCATCACCAAATTGGATCAAGAATATGTTCCAAAGACTTATGAAGAGGCTATGGAGCATGATGAATGGAGAGAATCTGTTGGAGATGAAATTGGAGCCATGAAGAAGAATGATACTTGGTATGAAACTGAGTTTACCAAAGGTAAGAAAGCTGTGAAAAGTCACCTGCTGTATACCATTAAGCGTGGACCTAATGGGAAACAAGAAAGGAAGAAGAAAAGGCTTGTTGCAAGAGGATACACTCAGGTCTATGGAGAAGACTATTTAGACACCTTTGCACCAGTGGCCAAGCTTCATACCATAGGAATTCTACTTTCTTTGACTGTGAATTTGGAATGGGACTTGTGGCAGATGGATGTCAAGAATACTTTCCTACAAGGAGAGCTGGAGGATGAGGTTTACATGAGACCTCCTCCTGGTATGGAAGACATGGTTAAATCAGGAAATGTCCTAAGGCTGAAGAAGGTTTATGGGTTAAAGCAGTCACCAAGGGCTTGGTATCACAAGTTGAGTACAACCCTCAATGGAATAGGGTTTGTAAAATCAGAAGCTGACCATACTCTCTTCACCCTTACAAGCAAGCAAGGAATTGTTGTGATTCTGATCTATGTGGATGATACTATCATCACTAGAAGAACAAGGAAAGTATCATCTCTACTAAAGATTTTCTTAAATCTAGTTTTGATATTAAATATTTGGGTGAGCCAAAGTACTTTTAGGGATAGAGATATGCCGCTCTAAAGAGGGGCTTTTCTATCTCAAAGAAAGTACACACTTGATCTTTTAAATGAGGCAGGAAAGCTTGGAGCAAGAGTGGCTAAGACACCACTTGAAGAAGGATACAAAATCTTGTGTGAGGGGGAGTTTGAAGACACTTTATTTGGTGACTTCAAACTCTATAGAAGAATGGCTGGGAAGCTGATCTACCTCATAATCACAAGACCAGACATCTGTTTTGCTGTGAATCAAGCGAGCCAACATATGCAATCACCAAAGATCTATCATTGGATTATGGTGGAAAGGATCATGGGGTATCTAAGGGAGGCTTTGGGTCAAGGTGTTTGGATGGGTTGTAACAAAATCACAAAGATTGTGGGATATTGTGATTCAGATTGGGCTGGTGATAGAGTAGACAGGAGGTCTACTACTGGTTATTACACTTTCATAGGAGGTAATCTCGTTACTTGGAAGAGCAGGAAGCAGAAGGTGGTATCATGTTCAAGTGATAAGGCAGAGTATAGAGCAATGAGGAAGCTTACTAGTGAGCTAATTTGGATCAGTAACCTGCTAAGAGATTTGAGAGTTGAGACAACAACACCAATCACAATGCATTGTAATAACTAGGCTGCCATACACATAGCATTCAACTCAGTCTTCCTTGAGAGAACAAAACACATAGAAGTGGATTGTCACAAAGTGAGACAAGCTGTGGAGCAGAAGATCATTCTGCCTTGCTACACCAGAAGTGAAGACCAGTTAGCTGAAATTTTCACTTAGGGAGCAAGCACTAAAGTCTGTGAGTTCATACATCCAAGATTGGGACTCATAGACTTAGCTGGATCATGATCCTTCTAAGCCATGAAGCATATACTCTTTTACTTTGTGTGTTTTATCCCATTGGGTTTTCGCACAAAGGTTTTAATGAGAGATGTCTTCATGGGGTCCAAGCTTTACCCATATCTTATGGCTAAGCTTGAGGGGGAGTATTGACATGAAGCAGTGGGGCGCGTGGTGGTGTGTGGAGCTGGCCCAGCGTGAGGGTAGTTAGCCCAGGTGAACTTCGGGGGGTTTGCCTTCAGAGATGCACCGGAGCAAATAAGGAGTATTGTGTTCACCGGACTGGCTCTCTGTGTTGCGTGTATTGAACTTTTCCAACTCCAACCTGAATCGTCTATCTTTCGGAAAAGAGAGGGAATGGAGATACTTCACTTTAATCAAACGATGCTTCGTCATTGGCGTGGAGGCGGTCAGCAAGAGAAGTCTGTCCTCCGGTTCTCGGAGGCGGAACGTGGTGAGTCTCATGCTCTTTCGTGTGGTCTACGGAAGATGGCATGTGACTTGCTTTTTTAAAGCGTTTAGTGGCAACGCATTCGCAGTACCAACTTGTGACAGATCTGGTAGCGTAGTTACTTCTTCTCTTTGCTGGGTTCTGCTTAACGTCGTTGGAGCCACTGCCTCAACCTGATTTTCACAGTTTCAAAACCTCTGATTATAACTTATGGTCCTCCTTGGTGCGATTATGCGTCCTATGGGCGATGTAGCAACTGGCTGTGTTTTAATAGTCTCATTATTAGTACCAGGATGCTAAGAGCTTCATTGGAATCTCACTATTGGAGTCTATTAGGTTATGGTCATGTTTTGTTAACTGTTTTTTAGTGGTAGAATTAGGTGGTTTAAGAGACGGTTTATCTCGGGTCTTGGGATGAACTTGTTCTCGCACTGGTGAAAAATGCAATAATGTACTCTAGGTTGCGCTGGATCCGAGTGAGAGATCACCTAGTGAGTGTTCCAGGTATTACTAAGATGCATTGTTGTATGTGTGGTAAAATCAGTGTGGTCAAAAACTTTGTATCATTTTATTGGTGAATGAATAGTTGATGTTGAGACAAAAAAAAACAAAAAAAAACAAAAAAAAACAAACCCTTTGTTTTTACTTGTGAAGAACTTCCAGCGAAACATGATACCACAATGTATTGAGAATTAGTGTACGTACTTACCGACCGAGTCAACATGCTCTTTCAAAAGCATGGTCACGACGAGCTCACTATGTCGCTTTCAACATCCTCTTTGTCTTCTAGCAACCTGAGCTTCCTTTATCTTTAGACTTTTTAATATTGTATCTCTATATAAATAGCTCACTATTCTTAGAATATGACTCTTGACGGAAAAAAAGAAAATTCATAGAATATGACACATCAATTCTTTCTCTTCTTTTCTTATTTACAACAACATCAATAATATTGCTCTAATATTGCAATTTTCCAAGTTATTGTTTTCTTTGTCAACTTGCAGTTTTCACGTTTTAGTTTTTCTTTTTTTAACTAGTTTTCACGTTTTTAGTTTTATTTGTCAACTTACATTTTTCTTCTTTATGGGCGGCTTTGTTTTGGAGGTATCAACTTGCAATTACAATAATATTATAAAGGGACAACATGACATAGATATAAACTTTATTATATAAGTTTCATAAGCTCTTTCTCAGTTGATGATTATTGGAAATGCAGCCACTAGCAAAGATGGAGAAGAAAGAAGACAAAACTCTTCACGTAGCGATGTTCCCATGGCTAGCTATGGGGCATCTTCTTCCTTTTCTCAATATCTCAAAGTTACTTGCTCAAAAAGGTCACAAAGTCTCCTTCATATCAACACCAAGAAACATCGATCGACTTCCCAAACTACCACCAAATCTCTCTTCTTCCATAACTTTCGTCTCTCTTCCTCTCCCTCCTTTCCCAAACTTACCTCCTTCCTCAGAATCCTCCATGGACGTACCATACATCAACCAACAGTCTCTCAAATCCGCCTTCGATCTTCTCCAGCAACCACTAACAGAGTTTCTCCGACGTTCTTCTCCGGATTGGATCACATATGACTACGCTTCTCACTGGCTTCCTGCTGTTGCCACAGAGCTCGGAATCAAGAAAGCTTTCTTTAGCCTCTTTAACGCTTCAGCTCTCTGTTTCATGGGACCGCCTTCGTCGCTCATAGAGGATGCTAGAACTACGCCGGAAGATTTCACGATGGTTCCGCCGTGGATCCCGTTTGAATCAGATATCGTCTTTCGTTATCATGAGGTCACAAGGTACGTTCAGAAGACAGAGGAGGATGTGACCGGAGTCTCTGACTCAGTTCGGTTTGGCTACTCTATCAGCGAGAGCGATGCGGTTTTTGTACGTAGCTGTCCGAAATTTGAACCGGAGTGGTTTGGTTTACTACGAGATTTGTATCAAAAACCGGTCTTTCCTACTGGTTTTCTCCCTCCGATTCCGGAAGATCATGATGACGATGGTGCTGCTACATGGGTTTGTATAAAGGAGTGGCTTGACAAGCAACGAGTTAACTCAGTAGTTTACGTGTCTTTAGGTACTGAAGCGAGTCTTCCTCGAGAGGAACTCGCTGAGCTGGCTCTTGGGTTGGAGAAGTCAAAAGTGCCTTTCTTTTGGGCTCTAAGGAACGAGCCGGCTCGGTCGGGGTCATTGATTCCGGACGGATTCGAGGAACGAGTCGAGGGACAAGGTATGGTTCATGTTGGATGGGTTCCTCAGGTGAAAATACTGAGGCACGAATCAGTGGGTGGGTTCTTGACGCATTGTGGTTGGAACTCGGTGGTGGAAGGGTTAGGTTTCGGACGTGTTCCTATTTTTCTGCCCGTGTTGAATGAGCAAGGACTGAATACGAGGTTGTTACATGGAAAGGGAATTGGTATTGAGGTTCCAAGAAATGAGAGAGATGGATCGTTTGATTCTGACTCTGTGGCTTGCTCCGTTAGATTGGCGATGATCGATGATGCAGGCAATTCCAAAAGAACAAATGCAAAGCTGATGAAAGGTTTGTTTGGGAACAAGGATGAGAGTATTCATTATGTAGATGAACTTGTAGATTATATGAGAAGCAAAGGATCTTCTCACGTAAGTCATGTTGGATGAAATAATGCTGTTTTTTTTTGTAATAGCCTGATTTATTCGAATATTACCAAGTTCAACACCTGTTTTCTTTTAATGTACTACTAGTTGTTTTTCTGTATCATATGCAGAAATAAAAGTTTTTAAAATAAAATTATATTTAAAAATAAAACTTAGATAATTTTTAAATTTATTATTTTGTTACATTATTAAGTTTACGTTAATCTATCTATAATGTTATATAAGAAGTAAATTTCCTTAGTTGTCAACTTCTCCTTGATTTTAGGTAAATTGTTTTATTTACCTTATTTAAATAATTTCATATATAATTTATTATTTAATAAAAATGAATTTATATTAATAATATTACATTTTAGAAAATATGTTAATCATTTTGTATTAAATTTTTATCTTAAAAATATATTTTTCTATTATAAAATTTAAGTGAATTTACTGATTGATTTGTAACTTCACTATAATTTTTGTAATTTTTCTTATTTGTTATATTTTAATAATTTTATGATTAATTTATCATATAATAAAATGAATTTCTATTAATAGTATTCTACTTTTAGAAAATAAGATAATTCTTATGTATTATATTGTTATCTTTAAAATATATCTTTATCATAGAAATTAAAAGTTAAATTAAAATATTAATAGTTAAATATAAAGAAAGCAATGCTGATTTATCAACTTCTCCATTGTTTTATATTTTGCTTATTTATGATATTTTAAGAATTTCATATATAATTTATTAAATAATAAAACGAATGTATACTAATAATACTAGATTTAAAAAAATAAGATAATTTTTATGTATTAGATTGTTATCTTGAACATATATTTTCTATTAGAAAATTTAAGTGAATTATCTGATTTGTAATTTCTCCATGATTTAGATAATTTTGATTGTTTTCCATATTTTTAATAATTTCATATAAAATTTATTAAAATGAAAAGAAATTTCTATTAAAATTATATTTTGAGAAAATAAGATACTTCTTATGTATTATATTGTTATCTTGAAAATATATTTTTATTACAGAAATAAAAAATTAAGATAGAAAACATTCTAATTAAAATAAATTAAAGCAACACAGTTGTAAAAATATATTTTTAAAAATATTTTGTTATGTGAGTGTTGTCATTTATAATTAATTTTAAAACATAAATCATAACTTATTATATTGGTTTGAATTAATAAAATATACACTAATAATAAATTATCTGAAAATTATGCTCGTGTGTGCAGGCAAAACACCTAGGTAATTTTGTTTATTTACCATATTTTAATATTTAAATATCATTTATTTATTTATAAATGAAAGGAATTTATATGAATATATATATTTTTACAAAATAAGACAATTATTGTGAATTATGTTGTTATCTTCAAATATATTTTTATATATAAAACTTAAATTTTAAATTAAAATATAAAAATTATTTATTTATTATATAACTAAAACGAATTTATCTTAATAATTTTATATTTATCTAAGATAAGATAATTCTTATGTCTTTTGTTGAAAATATATTTTCCTATTCTAAAACTTATTAACATATAAAAAGTATACTATTAATATAAACTTGTTTATTAAATATAAAATTAAGATATATAAGCATTATCATGTTGTTACAATATCTAAATAAATCTATACTATTATTTAAGAAGTAAATTTGCTTAGTTGTCATGTTCTCTATAAGTTTAGGTAATTTTGTTTATTTATCATATTTTTAATATTTATATATAATTTATTTATATATAAAATGAATTTATATGAATATATCATATTTTTATAAAATAAGATAATTCTTGTGAATTATGTTCTTATCTTGAAATATATTTTATATATAAAACTTAAATTTTAAATTAAGATATGAAATTATTATATTTATTATATAACTAAAGGAATTTATATTAATAATTTATAATTTTCTAAAGTCTATCTTTACTATTATTTAAGAAGTAAATTTGCTTAGTTGTCATGTTCTCTATAAGTTTAGGTAAATTTGTTTATTTATCATATTTTTAATATTCATATATAATTTATTGATATATAAAATGAACTAGGTGATTTTCCCGTGCTCATGCACGGGTATAAATACTTTTAAATTAAATATATAATAATAATTGATTATTATTTACTTTTAATTTTAAATTAATTTATAATTTTATGCATCATTTATATGAATAGTATTATATTACTTTACTTACACTGTAATTTTATATATGTTATATCTAGTCAATTTTGTTGTTTTACGGTTGGTTTAGTTATAATTTGGATAAATTGGATTGCATCTCTGAATTCAACTGTAATATTTTTAAAATATATTAATGTTTAATTAGTTACTTATTTGCATATGGTGGGTGTTGTCTTAGATATGTAAATATATTTTAGGAAAATTATGTATAACTTAAGATATATTGTGCTTAGAATGAATTAAAAATTAACTAAAGTGTCTGATTTCAATATACGTAAATTAATAAAACGAAAATATTCTAAAGTCTCATGGATATCTATAAATTTTACAAAAGAACTAAAATTGTAAGAGTTGGTTAGTATTTATTTTTATTTGTTAATATGTTATGAGTTATCATATGATCAATAAAAGGTTACATGCATTTATAAATTCTAAATAACTTTATGCTTTAGATTTATTGAATGTAAACTGATATTTATTTTAAATAATCTTAAATTGAGAATTCAGATTTTCTTTGATATTTTGATTATGGTTATATTTAGTTTCACAAACATAAAACATAAAATTTAAAACAATTAATATTAATAAAATAAATAATTTTAATAATGATAAAATATCATATATCTAGCTCATTAGAAGAATTATTTTGACCAAACGATATTTATTGTTAAATTTATTTTTAGTTTTTAATATCTCTTAAAAATAAGCACTACACAAAATTGTGATTGTATTTGAAAATAATATTATATAAGTAAAATATAAGTTCTAGATAATTTTCTGTAATTGAAAAACTTTATAGTCAACTAAATATAAGAAAAATAAATAAAAATTCAATAATACTAATTATAAACTATTTTATTACTCTAAAAGTATATTTATGTTATTTAAAAATATTTTTAAATGTATTATTACTATTTTGAGAACTTTCCTTTTTTATAAAAGTATATTATATATACATATTTTTATGTTATTTAAAAATATTTTCAAATGTATTATTACTATCTTGTCAACTTTCCTTTTTATGAAATCATATTATATATACATATATTTTCGTTTTAAATTTGTTTTTATGACTTTATAAAAAATGCCTTTTTATTACATATCGTTTTGGAAATTTTTGAAAAGGAAAAACTAAAAATAAAAGAATTAATAATACTATTTTTAATTCATTAAGGGTATCAATGTAATTAACCATCGTGAGAATGAACGTGAGAGTGACACATAAGAAACTGACTTCTCAAATAATATTATAGAGATTAATATGAATATATCATATTTTTAGAAAATAAGTTAATTCTTATGTTTATGTTTTTATGTTGAAAATATATTTTCCTATTATAAAACTTAAATTAAGATATAAATTTATATTATTAATAATTAAATATAACTCATCAAAAGAATTATTTGAAAAGTGAATTTGTTGATTTGTCTCCATGATCCTAGATAATTTTGATCATTTATTAGAATTTCTTTAATTTTTTTATTATTAATTAAATACTTAAAACTAATTTCTATTAATAATATGATATTTTAGAAAATAAATTAATTCTTATGTATTATGCTGTTATCTTGAAAATATATTTTATATTATAATTTAAAATTAACATGTAAAAAATCGATACTATTATTTAAGAAGTGAATTTAATGTTTGATGATTTGTCATATTTTTCATGATTTTAGGTAATTTTAATAATTTATCATAATTTCTATAATTTCTATATATAATTTATTATATATTTTAAAAAATTATATTAATAGTATTAGATTCTTAGAAAAAAAATATTTTCATGTATTAAGTTGTTTACTTGAAAATACATCTTTCTATGAAAGATTTAAAATTAAGATATAAAAAGTAGTAGTTATTCGATAATTGACATAAATTTACACTAATAATATTATACTTTTAGAAAATAAGGTAATTCTTATGTATTATGTTGTTATCTTGAAAATATATGTTTATGTTATATAATTTAAAAGTAAAATAGAAAAATTATCTATTATTAATGAAATATAAATCATCACTCAAAAAAATTTATTTAAGAAGTGGATTTGCTGATTTATTAAGTTATCCATGATTTTAGGCAATTTCAATTATACGTTCTATAATTTTTATAATTAAAAATAAATAAATTTTCCATTATATTGTTATCTTGAAAATATGTTCTCTATTATAAATTTAAAATCAAGGTATAAAAAATTATAATCAAAATATAAATTAAGTACAAATATTTGTATTATAATTAAATATAAATCAAGCAAAATAATTATAGAAATATATTCTTTTAAATATTTCTGATGTTTTAGTTTTGTCATTGATAATTATTTGATATTTGATTTTTACCTTTTGAAAACATAAATAATAATTTATTATGTTGATTTTTAAACTAAAAAACATCAACTAATAAATATTTATAAGAGAATTATGTCCGCAAGTGTGGGCAAAACACGTAGTTATATGTAAAAATTAAGATAAAATAAAAAACTTTTATTTAAATTTATATTTAATAATATCTATGTGTATATTTAAAATTAAAATTTTGGAAAGATTTTTTTTATCTTTTTTATTTTAATTAAAATATGTTAAATCAGATTCGATACAATTATGAGAAAATTTTGTTATTATATAATTATTAAAATATAAAATTAGATAACATTTCTAAAATTTATAGATGTTATAAATAAAACTAAAAGAATTGAGATTATAAAATTATAATGTTTTAAGAATCCGCATAAAATTTTGAAAAGAAATTATTATGAAAAATTAAATAATTATGAAAAATAGACTTGAAAAATATTTCAAAATTAGTAAATATTGTTATATTTCTATTTCTACTATTATATTATTTATTATTATATTACCATATTCTAAATACCTACCGAATATATATATTAAC